GAGGGAATGAATCTGGACCGTCTACGTGCGCGAGAATAAATCCGGACCGTTCGATCGTGAGCACGCGGATTGTCAGCGTGGCTTCCCACGTGATACCGAGTCAGCGTGTCTTGCCACGCAACGCGCTCCGCTTCGTCAGGACTGCTGACCGAGCGGTCTTATCGGCACATTTTTCTTAAACTGTGTTTTAATCCCCAGTTTTCGAATTTTTTTTCAAAAATACCTCCCGAATCTAAATTTTCATCTTTTTTTTTCTAAAATTATTTTCAATTTCATCTTCCACCTATTTTTTTTCTAATTTTGTATTAAATAAAAAATTTACAAATTTAAATTTTTTTATTTTTTATCAATTTAATTTTTAAAATTAATTTCGGATCAAATTTTTGAATCCAATTATTACAAATTTAGCAGGAGGTTGAAGAAGAAGAGAGCGCGAAAATCACAGTTTTTCCCAAAGAAACGAAATCATCAAGTATGTAAATATTTCATTTCACCTAAGATATATACGAGCTAATTACAACTTCTAAACTAAACACTGTATATTATAACGATTAAAATATTTTTTTTATAAGAAATTACGAGTTTGAGTCTAACTTTGATTCTATATATGTCTATATTCAAAGATTATTTGTATTGTGTCATTATGTGTATATTGTATATTTTTTAATTGATAAATGTATACATGCTTTTACAAAAAAAAAAGAAAATTACAATCTCTAAACAATATATATATATGTTTTGTTAAATATAAAAGAAATAGATATAAAATTAAAGGGAATATTCATGTATTTCTACACCATCCATTGAGTTGCATATCAATATTATATGTACCTAAAAAGTCAAGATCTGCTCTTTAAGTAAAATATATATATATATACCAATTATAATTATATATATATAATTTTAGCTAAAAATGCTGGCAAGGCTAAAATCTAGTGAAGATTGATTGTAGCATATGTATGCATGTGTGTGTGTGTGTGTATATATATATATAATGTAAAAGGTGAATTGAAGGATATGAATGGAGGCCCATGGGTGTGCTTGAGGTTGGTTGGGAAAGAGATCACGTGAGTTGCCACCTCTGCCGGTGATGCCGATGGCTCACCTTCCATTTTCCCCAAATCATTTATTCATTTTTGTCGGAATGTTGGCGGTTGATCCCCTCCCCAATTTAACTCTTTCTTTTTTGGTTAATTTCCCATCTAATCCGAACGATCATCTCGATCTGGAAATATGTATATATATATATATATTTACATCTTATTAATTAATATGATGCCAATTGACTATATATATATATATCTCTCTCTCTCTCTATATATATAATTACAAAGGCAAATTAAATCTTCACCTGAATATGTATATGTATTTCCCAATCATCAGAAATTTATACTCATTTGATGATCGTTACTGTTTTTTCACGGTTCATGACACTCCATCGATTCTTTTATTTTTACGTGATTATAAATTTTTAAAGTAGAATTTTTATGTACTTTATTAATTGAAGAATATATATATATATAATAATAATAATATAATTTTTTAATAAAATGTATAATTAAAAGTTATTTTCTCTTACTATTATTCCGTAGATTCTTCGACTTCAATCAATCTCATAAGAAAATTTTGATCGGACAAAAGATGAAGAAGAGAAGGGTTATTTCTTCTACGAAAACCCTAGAAACTGCACCAAAGAGGGAAGAAAAGCAAGAAAATCACAAGTCACCATTAAAGGAGAAAAACCCTAACCCACCAAAATGCACATGTTTGTCTTTCTCTTATTCAGAGAATTTCTCTCAATCTTTTCTCACTTTCTCAACCATAGATGAAGCGAACTGGCTAATGATTTTGGATTTGGAACTTGCTTTTGGGTGTATATATATATAGTTTGTATTTTAATTATGATCTATGTATTATATATCCATCATTTTTTTTTTATAAAATATAACAATCGTTAACGAATATCTAAATTTTCAATTATAAACCGAAAGAAAAGATTTCAATCTCCTCCAATTTTCGCTATACATATATAAAAGTTATTTACATGAACTTAAAATTTCTTTT